ACCTTGAAAGACAACTACTTTATAAAATTCTCTAAACTGATAAATTATTGAGTTTGGGATTCAAAGCCCAGGGAGTTTGGTTCTAGAGCCCACCCTCTTGCTCACTAGGCCCCTCCCACTGCTTTCAGTGTGCCTACTGCTATTTCACATAACTTTCTACTTATGGCCAGGATGGCACAATTGTCTATTGCACTGATAAGTTTATATAAGACAACATGAGGTAGAATTCCACAGGTCTCCAAACTGCCTGATTTCAGGTGAGCTAGATGTCCATTATTATCTTGCCTATTTCAATTAGTTTTTAACTAACACTGAAAAAGTTGAGTTTCAAAGGAGACACCCAAGATGGCGGGGTAGATAAACACTGTACCTGCTTTCTTCCACAAACACATTAAAATTACAACTAAATTACAGAACAGTCAGCCTGGAGAACCATCTGAAGACTAGCCAAACAAAAGTCCTATAACTGAAAATATAAAGAAGCCACACAGACACTAGTAGGAGGGGCAGAGACGCGGAACAGGCCCCAAACCTCCCTGTGGCAGTTGAGAATCAGGAGGAATATCTTGGCAATCTTAGTTCACTCCAGAGGAGCGAGGGACCTCAGCCCCCCACAACAGGGTCCTCAGCTTGGAGTACTGGTGCAGAGAAGAGGATCCCCTACAACATTTGGCTGTAAAAATCAGTGGGGATTCTGACCGTTTGGGTGGGATGGAAGGTTTAAATGACCCACACACAGACTCACGTGCTTGCAGGCACTCACCTTGGGCTCCAGCAAAGGGATAGTGACTCGAGGTGGCTCGGAAACATACGGGGCGAGGGATGCAGAGTACGAGGTGTGTGGCTGCGGGGGCAAGGACTGGAGGACAGACAGCATTTTCCTGCTGAAGAATCCACCTTCTGTGCAGCCTGCAGGCAGGCGCCATCTTTCATGTTGAGCCCACCTGCTCCGGCCAAATCTGAATCTGATTAGCCTGATGAGCTCCACTGCTCCTTCCTGCTGACTCACCTGAAATTAATATAAAATAATATTGAATGTCAACTGTAATTGATAAATTTAAAAAGGGAGAAAAGGGGAAAAGGGAGGAAAGGGGAAAAGGGAATAAGAGGTCCAAATTTCCAGGTATAAAACAAATAAGTAATAGGGCTGTAATGTACAGCAAGGGGAATATAATCAATAACATTGTGATAGCATAGTACAGTGTCAGATGGCTACTGGACTTATGGAGGCCACTTCTTTATGTATATAAATGTTGAATAACTATGGTGCACCCCTGAAACTAATATAATATTGTATGTTAGCTATTTTTAATAAAAATCTTTAAAAAAACTGAAAAAGTTAAATTTCTATCACAGATCTGTATACCCAATGGAAGATATAATTATATAATTTCCCAAATGGTGTTTTTGTTTGTTTGTTTGTTTGTTGGATTTTGGTGGTCCACTGCTGCAGGTGGTAGAACTGTACTGACCCTTTTTCTTTGGAATGTGTCATTTGATTGTGTGGCTAGCAGGAAGGGGGCATGATTTGTGGGAGCCAATGCTTGTATGCGTCATCAAAAGGGGAAAAAAAATACCTTAATCTACAGAGTAACAAAATCATACAAAAAAAAATGAACTTAGAAAATATCTCAGAAAAAATCAGATGTTCCAGATCCTCAAAAAGAGCCAGATAGATATTACTGTGTTGGGTCTCAATGCTCTCCAAATTCAGGTGCCAGATGCACTGAAAAGGATTACAGTTCTCTATAACTGCAACAAAATACAACTACACCAGGTGCACAGAAATACTTTTTCTCTGTCTTCTCTCTCAGACACACTTCTACCCTTCACAAAAACTAAACATTAAACAACACTGGCTGGAAAAAGAAAAAAGAAAGAGAGACAGAAAGAAAAGAAATTATGTTGACCATGGCAAGGTCTTTTAGAAATACAAATATGCTTTTAAAATTTCCTTAAAAATCTGTAAGTGAAACGGAGGATCTAAAAGAATGTGCTAGTTTCCTTCTGTGCTTTTTTACTTCCCCAGGTTATACATAGGTATAACCACCAGAGCAAGGCAGAGCAAGGGCTTCATTGTTGTAACTGTATCTAAGATGATGACAAATGCCTTTAACAAAAAGATTAATACTAGAAACTAGACCATAAGAGGCTCTTATGGGGTGGTTGAGGTAGAGAGGTGGAGGACAGGGGCATATTTCTTCCCCTCCATACACAAGCTTTTTGTTGACTCTTTCTCAGTGTATTTCTGACTCAGCATACCAAAAAAAAAAAAAAATCTGCACATTTGTAGAAATAATTAGAGTGGCAAAAGACAAAAAGCAAGTACATTCTGAAAGCATTCTTTCTAGCCTCTGTTTCTGCTGCCAAAATTGTCATTTCATCTTTAGCATGTTTGCTCTTTCCATGATGTTGAAAACTTGTGTTCTTCCAGATGAAAACACACATACAGACAACACACACACACACACACACACACACACACACAAAACTTTTCATCATGACCAAAATTATTAGAAGACATTCTTATAGAGAAGCAGCAGTTTTCTATCCACTGACCCTTCAGATTCTTTCCCTGTGCATTTCTCTCTGAAAGACTTGTGGGAACACTCAAATCTAGGTAATCTCTCTTTATTCACCTTGGCCTCCACCCCGCTTCATTTCCTTCTCAGGGCTTCCTGGCTCTGAGCAGGGCTTGCCGCTGTGTGTATGTGTATTTAGTTCAAACTTTTCATATCTCAACTGCCTGTAAAGTCACTGACTACTATATTCAAATCATATCCTTGAACTTATTTTTTCCCCTCCCCCGGGCTCCCTAGCCCTGCCCTCCGGGGACTATTACCAGCTCCCAGGTTCCTTTCAGCAAGCAGCAGCACCACTAACTAAAAATTAAAACTGAAAAAGGTGATTGAATTGTAAGGTAAAATTTTCTTTTTAAATCTCTTTGAAGTTTTTGTCTTGCATCCACAGAGGATTGTGCTCTTTGAATGATTTCCATTTGAACACATTTGTAATTAGAATGTTTTTGCTCAATTTCAGTTTTCCCACAAAAAACTGTTATTGTTTATGCTGTGCAGAATCTCAGGGCTTTCAATGATCACTTTTAGTTTTCTGAAACATGACAGAATTGTCTTCTTGAGAAACATTAAGCCTCATAAGGGAAACAGGAATCTACTTCCAGTCCTCACTTCTCTGCTCCCACATTCCCTACTCCTCTACACACACACACACACACACACACACACACACACACACACACACACACACACTACTTTAAAGCACTTTCCAGAATATAGACTACATTGTTTATTATATTTATTTCAGTAGCTGGGGTTCAAAGTGGACCAAATAGAACTGGACATTGTATAGAGGGGGACGAATGGAAGAATTATCGCTTTCTCATTAAAAGAACCATTCAGTTTTAATGTCAGATGACTCAGTTCTCCTAAGAGGTAGGTGCATTGCTTTTCATTTTTCTCTCTTTTTCCACTAATCTTCTTTAAAACCAAATTTTAGACATTTAAATTTTCAGCTTATGGTTTAACTTAAATGGGAAGACTTGCTGTGTCATGTAGGCTATAATATATAACCACATAAAATTGTTACTTTCTGGTAGGATTTAAAAGATTTTTATGAACTAATTTTATAATTGAAAATAAATATTCATAAACCATTTTCCAAGGTATCTGATTCAATGAAATTAGTTATCTTCTGTCTTCCAAACCTTCCCCCTGCACCCATCTCCCCATGTAATTTTGAACCTGTCATCATCCACTGGTCACAATGAAGCAATGCTAATTCAGGACTAATCCTCCTAGGTTCCTGAATAGGTTACACCCACTTCTCAGATGTGACTAGTATGTATTCAGAATCAGCTGCCTTGTTTTCATCTTGTTACTCATATCCATTCTTTTCCAACATTTTTTTAAATTAAAATTTATTGGGATGACAATGGTTACATTTCTGCAGTGTGGAGAGCTTGAGCTTTTTGTCAGAAGGAAGTTTGTTTTGTCAAAGAAAGGTTTCCTTACAAACTGTGAACACCCTCATTTGACTAAGATGAATCAGAGACATTATTGGACCTGGATCAAGCTGATGCATCGCAGATTTGCATTATGACCAAGTGGACAGAGATGGGAAAACTAAAGTATATTTTTGGGTTGCCACTCACTTGTTCTGTGTTTTTAAGCAGACTCCACATACAGTCATTATAACTGTATTCACTATGTTCAAAAAGTTGAAACAGGAAAAATATAGTCATTCCCAAAATGATCTTCTAGAGATGAAAACTACAATGTCTGATAAAACTGCATTGGTTGAGATTAACATCAGATTACACATTGTAGAATAAAAATTTAGTGAATATAAAGGCATAGTAATAGATGTTACCCAAAATGAAACAGAGAGAAAAGATTTTTAAAAATGAATAGGGCATCATGGAGCTGTGGACAAGCACATGGGCTTGGAGTTTCAGAAGGAAGAGGGAGAGACAAAAAGTATTTGAAGAAATGATGACCTTAATCCCACATTGCTAAGAAGCTTGATGAACCTGAAGCATGCATACGCGTGCACACACACACACACACACACACACACACACACACACACACCCTTCCCCATGAAAATAACCACACCAAAGCACATCATAATTCAATTGCTCAAAATCAGTGATAAAGACAACAGATTTCCTATAAGAAAAAAATGAGGTAAACTGAAATGTAATGAGTGACAGATTTATTTTACCTTTAGTTCAGATACTTTTTAGCATGCTTCTGTGAAATGTAATTTTGTGTGTGTGTGTGTTTCTTTTTTTTTTATTTTGCTTTTTTGAAATGTAATTTTTAACTCAGAATAAATATGCAGTTCAATTTCTTTCCAACATTTCTACTAAAAGACCTTTGTTCTTCTTGTCACTGGGCCAGTTGCTGCTCTTGTAATCTACACCACAGAAATGCCCTTTGTATTTAGAGCTCTGCTTTCTCAGTGTATTAAAGGCCTATTGCACTTTGTGTCAAGTTGTAGTATCTTAAGAATAAGATTAGTTACTCAGCTTCTGATTTTTATCCTCTTTATTTCTCCATTATTTGATTGTCAGTAAATATTCTATTAAGTATCTGCACAATCTGGTACAAAAAATGATTTCTCCAAAAGACTTCCTGAGAAAAAATTTGAAGATGGTCCATGGTTATCCCATGATCCATGTTTTTGCTGACAACTGGGAAAATGTTGAACAGTTCCACAGCAGGCCAGATGACATTGTGATAGCCACTTACCCCAAATCAGGTGAGTTTTGTGGCCTGACAAATGCAGGTCTGACTAAAACCTTTGTTTCCTGAAAATCAACTTCTGTATAAAATTATTATTATCCTAAATAAAATTAATATTCCTATCAGTCAGTCTAGCCATTTACTTCAAGTATATTAAAATGGGTTTGGGGCCATATAAAGGGAAACTGCAGCATTAACTTTCTAACAGGATGTATTAAGATGGCAGGCTTCCAACAGGTACTTTTCCCTCAGATTCAGGTGATGGTTATAAAAAATGTTGCCTTTTGCCACAGGTACCACTTGGGTAAGTGAAATTGTGGACATGATTCTAAATGATGGAGACATTGAAAAATGTAAGCGAGATTTTATAACTGCTAAAGTTCCAATGTTGGAAGTGGCTGTCCCCGGACTAAGAGTTTCAGGTAATTTTAAACCATCTGGGAGTTATAGTTTTGTAATATTATTTACATAGCTTATTAATTATTGTATTTGCAATTGCCACTCAAAGGAAATGGAGTAGATTTGGTCATATAAAGTGCAAGCTTGAAAGCAGTACAATAACCAAGGCATATCAACAAACTAGTTACAGTCCACTACATATCCAGGTATGATAATTGAAAATGAAAGAATTTTGTTGTAGAAAACAACTAAAAATTTGGTTGGTGACATTAAAAATGTTCCTTATTTTTTATTAGCTTTTGCAGTATAGAATTTGGCAGATTAGAGCAATGAGCTCCTAATTTAGGATATTGCTGTAGTTAAATGAATAGGTAAAGAAGCACCAATGCCTCTTAAAACATAAAATTTATTATTAATACAATTCATTTTTCATCCACAAATATTTATTGCATGCTTCTAAAGAATGATGTAGTGTGCTATGGGCTAGATACAAAATGATTAGTAAGTTAGATGTCTTATCCCCAAGGAGTTTACAGTAATATTGTAACATTAAATAAGTAAATAAACTAAAAATATGTACATCTTACATATCCAAAGAATAGGGCTCTATGAAAGAGAACAATAGGAGAGTTTACTTTAGATTGGATAATTAGGGATAACCACTCTGAATTGAAATCTCAAGCCATGCACATAGTTGGAGAAACCATATTTCAGGAACATAAATTATTAGTTATAAAGGTCTAGAAGCAGGAAAGACACATTAGTATCATCCTGGAACTATAAAAACCATTACAACAACAACAACCAATAATAACAACAATGAAACAAGGTAAAGTGAGCTGCAAAACAATCGACAATGACTAGGCAGGAACAGGTCATGTAAGGCTTGTAGTTCTTAAGATATATTCAGTGAGCTAAGAGAATAAAAAAAGTATGATGTCCTGTAGGAAATGTGAGAAGGGTTTCAGAAGTGAGGCCTGGCTCTCCAATGCTGTTGGAAACCTGGGATAAGAAGAAGTACAGTGGTGAAATTGTATATCAATATAAAGAGCAGAATCCAAATTCTCTCCCTTGCTGGAGCTAGGCAGAGAAGGACCAACTGGGAGGGTGGCACTCCTTCTGTATGGCGGCCTGAAGTCAGAGAGTAAATGCTAAAGCTTGGAACTAAATGATTATTCTGGGATACACAGCTAAAATGAGCGCAAGAGTGAGTTAAGACTCCAGGATCATGGAAAGTATAAAATGAAAAAGTGATAGACTCAAAGTAACCCGGGATCAGGAAGTCAGGGGTTATTGGTGGGAGGTGGGGGTTGAGGGTGGGGAGTGAGGCTTGTAGGATTACTAGACAGTGAGTAGGTGCAGTTCACCTGGTAAAGGAGGATAAACTGGCACTCAGATTTACTCTGGAGCCTAAATGTGAACACTTGCGATGTCATTACATATTCCCATCATTCATAGTTGTACACATGAAGGGTTCAGTTAAAGGACCTCACATGTCAAAACAATTACAAGACAGAAGAGGTTGAGAAATCTTTCAACAAAGTTGAGGAAAGAAAGAGGAAAACCATATTATGTGGGAAAACTTCATAAGAGAAACAGACATAAAAGTTTATGCCATGGCATTGAGGAATAGTAAATTGTGGAAGATTATGACTTCTCATTCCTATATGCTGAGTCAAGTGTTAACTACCAGGTCAGTAGAAGCATAATGAAATACATGGTAACATTTTATTGGTGTATAATTAATTTTTCCAGATAAAATTCAGGTTACCCAATTAAATTTGAAATTTAGATAGCTATTTTATTTAGCAATGGTATATCCCAAATATTACAATGGGAGATACTTATACTAAAAGGAATCTGTTGTTAACCTGAAAATCAAATTTAACTGGGATATTTGTATCTTTATTTCTAAGTCGGGCAACCCTAACTGCATTGATATCAAGAGGTTCTTCTTAATACAACCATGTGTTATGCACTACTCTCTACAGAATAGTTGTTGGTGAACAAAACACGCAACATCTCTGATCTCATGGAATCTCCATTCTAGTGTCTGACTTTGGGGGTGGGGATAGGGAAAGTGCATAGGAACTGACAATAAACAAATAGATCAGTAAATAAACTATGAAACAAAAATAAGTGCTATATATAACATTTTAAAATGATATTTTAATAGATACTGGGTGGCTTTTTAGCATATGTAATGAATGTATGTAAGCAATTGAAGCATAAAATTGCTCTGAAAGAATGAGTCATAGAATTATGGGTAGGTCTGACTTCATATGCAAAAGGTGGGAAGATAATGTAAGATTAACAGGTAATCCAGAGGTTAGACTGGATATAAGTAATAATGTGAAAAATATGCAAAGGACTTTTAAGAATTGTTAGATGTGAAACCTGTAGGAAGAGACAACAGTCATTGAGATCTTAGGGTTTGGTGGCTCTAGAGGAGATGGCATCGTTAACAGATATACATGGGATATGATAAAGGCCACTCAGTCCATTAACAGAATAGTAAGTGAAAATGGTCAGCCAGCTCTTCTCAGTCTATGTCAGAAGTTTTCTGAGTATGTCTTTACTCCATAAGTGCCAAATCAGGCTGGCCAAATCACTACGTAGTGAGATCCAGGCCCCTGGGTTCTTCTGGGCTGAAAATGTAGAAATAAATGGATACTTTCTGTCTCAGGGAAGTTCATATAGCCCTTATCCAAGGACTTAGTATGAAACCAAGTTGTACCACATATTAGTTGTACAACTTTGGAGAGTTCAGCTAATACCTAAAAGTTACACAACATTTTCATTTTGCATATATATATATATATATATATATATATATATATGACACATAAAGGAAATAATGAAAATGATATCATCTATACTAAAATAGTTGATGCAAAACAATAACTGTTGTGAGAATTACTAGTTATCAATATCTCTTTGACATACAGAAAACATTTTTATAATTATTTATAATATGCACAAGCATGATAAAACTCTGAAGTGCTAAGGTTGGTATTATTACTCCTCATTTTGGAGGTGGAGAAAGTGAAGCATAGAGACTGGGATACTTTCAAATGCCTCACAGTGAAAAAGTGATAGAGTTAGGATTTGAATCAAAGGAGGCTAACCTCAGAACCTATGCCTATAACCATTTTACAGTATTGCCTCTTAGAATACAGGTAAACAACACCTATGATTGGCTCAACATTTAGCAGCATTATATACTGCTCAAAAATTTTAAAAGGTTGGCTGAGAAAATCCGGAAATGCAAGCAAGCATCTTAGAGACTTTAATATCTCTATATACCAAACTAAATTTTCCCAGGTGTAGAGCAATTAGAGAAGAATCCATCACCTCGGGTTGTGAAGACACATGTACCAACTGATCTTCTTCCTAAGTCTTTCTGGAAAAACAACTGCAAGGTACACTATAGACTGCAAGTCAGTTTCTTAATGTGACCCTATCCCTTTACTCACTCACATAGTAAATAATTACTCAAATATTTCGTTTACTTGTTACCTTGTGAACTTAGCTACATAAGAAAGGGTTTCAACTAAAGTGTTTCAGTTATTTCAGTCTGAATCTACATACTTAAGTTTTCCAAAGTTATATAGTAACAGGATTCTCATTTCAGCAGATATTGCTCCTACTAATCTCCCACTATCCCTAGATATGCTGGTCTTCTCTGAAAACCAAATATAAGGATGTCAGTTTTTATTTGGTTATTTGGGAAAATTCTCCAGTGAAACATTTATGCCTGGATATTTGCTTTTGGGGAAATTTAAATTTAAAATTCAGTGTCTCCAATAATTGTAGGGCTATTCAGATTATCTATTTCAACTTCGCTGACTTTTGCTAGTTTGTGATATGTAAGGAATTCTAAGTTGTTGAATTTTGTAAAGAGAAGTCATTCATAATATTCTCTTCTTAGTCTTTCTCTTAACAGACTTTAGGTTTTTACAAATTTTATTTATTTTTAAAGCAATTTTAGGTTTGTAGCAAAATTGCGAGGCAGGCAGAGATTTCCCAGACGTGTACACCCTCATCCCCGCACATGGTGAGACTCCCCATTATCCCCACCAGAGTGGTACATTTTTAAATTGATGAAGCTACACTGACGCATCATAATCATCCAAAGTCCATAATTTACATTAGGGTTCACTCTTGGTGTTGCACATCCAATGAGTTTGGACAAATGTAGGATGACATGTACTGGAGGTGCCAAAAAATGTATACGCATGACTTGTATTCATCTTTTTTATCAGTATATATTATTACAATTTTAATACAGTTTTTTCCTTTCTTAAAATGTGTATAATTTTTTTTGGTACCTTCTGTATATTCACCATTGTAGTACAATACAGAGTAGTTTCACTGCCCTAAAATCTTCTGTACTCCATCTGTTCATCCCTCCTCCCCCCAACTCTGGCAACCACTGATCTGTCTCCATAATTTTGTCTTTTCCAGAACATCAGAGAGTTGGAATCATATAGTATGTAGCCATTACAGATTACATTCTTTTTTCCCTTAGTAATAAGCATTTAAGTTCCCTCTCTGCCTTTTCATGGCTTGCTAGCTCACTTCTTTTCAGTGCTGAATCATATTCCACTGTCTGGATATACTAAAACTCATTTATCCATTTACCTACTGAAGGACATCTTGGTTGCCTCTGAGTTTTAGCAATTATGAATAAACTGCTATTAAGATCCATGTGCAGGTTTTTGTGTGGACCTTATTTGTCAGCTCCTTTGGAGAAATGACAAGTAGAGTGATCGCTAATTGTATGGTATGAGTATTTTTAGTTTTATTAGAAGCTGCCAAAATGTCTTCCAAAAAAGCAATACCAGTTTGCATTCCCACCAGCAATGAGAGTTGCTATTGCTCCACATCCACAGCAGCATTTGGTGTTGTCAGCGTTCTGGATTTTGGTCATTCTAATAATTGTGGAGTGGTGTCTCATTGTTGTTTTAATAGGCATGCACCTCATGACATTTAATGTGGAGTATCTTTTCATACCCTTTTTTGTGTCTTTTATTTTGTCAGTCTTGTTAGCTGTTTTCCAATTTTATTAATTTTTTTAAAGAGCCAACTTTTTGTTTGATTAATTCTCTAATGTTTTCCTGTTTTTAATTTCATGGATTTCAAATCTGTTGCTTTCCTTGACTGTACATTAATTTTTTTTCTTAAATAAAATACCATTCAATTGGTTTTCTTTCTTCTCATCCTGTAGATAATTTATCTGGCTCGAAATGCCAAGGATGTTGCGGTCTCATATTACCATTTTGATTTAATGAATAATCTGCAACCCTTTCCTGGCACATGGGAAGAATATCTGGAAAGATTCACGACTGGAAATGGTAGGTAGGCTTTAGCTTAAAATTAATAAATAATTTTTTATTTTTAATAATATTATTAACTATTACTGGCATAACTTTTCCTTTCAAAACACTTATTTTTCCGAGTCAGTAACAAATACACTCAAATACCATTTAAAAATTAAATCAGGGCCGGCCTAGTGGCACATTGGTTAAGAGATGGCTTCGGACGCCAGCTCTGAGCAGCAGGGCCCTAGTTCGGATCCCACATGAAGGTCAGTGACACTGCCCTCTGCAGCTAAGATGATGAACAACAACTCGACCTGGAGCTGGGCTGCCGTGAGTCGCTGGTGGCGGTGTAGGCTGCAGCCCCTGCTGCAGTGGGCTGCCATAAGCTACCGTGAGCAGCCGGTGTGAGCTGCCAAAAGCTGCTGTGAGCTGCCGTCCAGAAGCCGGTGACCAATCTGCCTCACCTGGGAAGAAGTGCAATGATCACAATACCAACATGGACCAGTGAAGCAATGTCCTCCACAACTAGACTGAAGAACAAAAGGACAAAAGCTTGTCTGTTCCCCTTCCCTGATTCCCCAACTCTGTTCTCTTCCCCCAATTCCCCAATAAAATCTTTAAAAAAACAAAATTAAATTAAATGCGAGATCTGACAATTAAGTTTGTGAACTTATCCTAGAAAAAGGGCTACATGCCTCATTGCTGAATATCACTACAGTCACCTTCGAAGTACTTCCCTTGGGACACTATGTAGTGATGCTAGTGGCTAGTTCTCCCCCCAAAGCAATTTTGGAACTCTTTTTCTGGAATTGCCTTCAGAGCTGTCATCATATTACCCTTGATGCCCTGAATGCCATCAGTATGTATGTCTTCCTTTCAGTATTTCCTTTATCTTCAGGTAAAGAAAGAAGTCATTGGAGGCCAGATCAAGTGAGTAGGGAGGGTGTTCCAATACAGTTATTTGTTTACTGGCTAAAAACTCCCTCACAGACAGTGTCCTGTGAACTGGTGCATTGCCATAATGCAAGAGCCAGAAATTCTTGGCGAAAAGTTCAGGTCATTTTCATCTAACTATTTCACGAGCCTTTTCAGCACTTCTAAATAGTAAACTTGGTTAACTGTTCATCCAGTTGGTACAAATTCACAATGAATATTCCCTCTGATATCAAAACAGGTTAGCAACATTGTTGCAACAAGTTCACAAACTTAATTGTCAGACCTCATATGTCTAATATTTTACTATGATAATATATAAACCTGGTATTAAATAAACATTGCTTAATGAAAATATTCTCTAACCTCTCTTCACTTACTAGAAATCCAGTCTCAGTTCCTGTTCACAATAGAAATTGTTTACTTTGCCCAAACCATTAGTAAAATCTGTCATACACATAATTATAGTACTTAAATAGTTGATATGAATACTTCATAAAAAAATAGTTTCCTTCCATGTGAAGCTAAGTATAACCTATTGGAATGGAGGCCAATGTATTTTCATTTGAAATGCTTCCTTGGTACATTATTTTTTAAAATCTGATTGTTTTTAAATTCATATTTGGCTGATTATATATATTTTTAAGTTAGCCTTATTTCGCAGTTCTCTTGATTATTAAATTCCACAGAATGCTTAGAAAATTTGACTTATTGTTCAGAAACAAAGCTTTAATTTCATGAATGCTTATAGAAACAGACTGTTTCTCTGGTTTTAGTGGCCTATGGTTCCTGGTTTGATCATGTTAAAAGCTGGTGGAAGAAAAAAGAAGAACACCCAATACTCTTTTTGTACTATGAAGATATGAAAGAGGTAAATGGTAGAAAATCATTCTGGATAATTCCCCCACTAAATCATGGGGTAAAAGGATTAATATATAATTTTCAACATAATCTATGGAGTCCAAAATTATATGATTGCTTTGCCTAGTCACCATGACTGCTTACCCAAATCTTGCTAAGATCATTAATGAATTTCTAATTGTAAAATCAATTATGTTTTTATTCCTCTTATCCTTTTTAACCATTGTGTTTATACTGAGTACCTTTTCTTTTTTCATGATTTTTTATTAAATTTATTGGAGTGACATAGATTAGTGAAATTATATGTTTCCAGTATACAATTCTAGAATACATCATCTATATATTCATTGCATTATGTGATCACCACCCAAAATAAATTCTCCTTACATCACCATGTATTCGGTCCCCTTTACCTTCTTCTATCACCACACCCCCTTACCCTCTGGTAACTACTAAACTATTTTCTGTGTCTAAGTTTTTGTCTGTTTGTCTTGTTTGTTGTTACTTTCAGTTTTATATCCCACATATGAGTGAAGTCACTTTTTCTGTCTGACTTATTTCACTTGGCATGATAATCTCAGGATGCATACATGTTGTCACAAATGGCAGTATTTCATCTTTTTTATGGCTGAGTAATAGTCCATTGTATATATGTATAACATCTTCTTTATCCAATCACCTATCAAAGGACACTTCAGTTGTTTCCATGTCCTGGACACCGTGAATAGTGCTACAGTGAACGTGTGGGTACATGTATTTTTACCAATAAATATTTTCAATTTTTTGGGTAGATTCCCAGAAGTGGGATTGCTTGGTCATATGGTAATTTTATTTTTAATATTTTGAGGAAACTCCATACTGTTTTCCATTGTGGTTGTACCAGTTTCCATTCCCACCAAGAGTATGAAGGTTTCTTTTTCTCCATAGCCTCTCCAATACTTGTAATTATTTGTCTTGTTGATGACAGCAATTGTAACCAGTGTGATGTGGTATCCAATTTGATTTGCATTTCCCTAATAGCTAGTGAAGTTGAGCATCTTTTCATATACCTTTTGGCCATTTTTATGTCTTCTTGGGAGAAGTGTCTGTTCAGGTCTTATGCCCATTTTTGAATTGGATTGTTTGTTTTTTTGTTGCTGAGCTATACAAGTTCTTTATGTATTTTGGATATTAGCCCTTTATTGGAGGTGTTTGCAAATTGTTTGCAAATATCTTCTCCCATTTTGTTCGTTGCCTCTTTGTTTTGTTGACAGTTTCTTTTGCTCTGCCGAAGATTTTTAGTTTGTTGTAGTCCCATTCATTAATTTTTGCTCTTACTTCCTTTGCCTTTAAGGTCAAATTCATAAAATCCTCTCTGGACCCAAGGCCTATCAGTGTAGTATTTATTCTTTCTTCTTTACGATTTATTGTTTCAGGTCTTGTATTTAGGTCTTTGATCCATTTTGAGTTAATTTTGGTACATGGTGACAGATAGCAGTCTAATTTGATTCTTTTGCATGTGGCTTTCCAATTTTCCCAGCACCATTTATTAAAGAAGCTTTCTTTTCTCCATTGTATGTTTTTGGCTCCTTCATCAAAAATTACCTGCCCATATATACGTGAGTTTATTTCTGCGTTCTCAATTTTATTCGTTTGGTCTGTTATCTGTTTTTCTTCCAATACCATACTTTTTTTTTTTATTATTGCGACTTTGTAGTATAATTTTAAGTCTGGGAGTATGATACCTCTGGTCTTGTTCTTCTTTCTCAGGATTGCTTTGGCTGTTCGGAGTCTTGTGATTCCATGCCAATCTGATGATATTTTTTGTTTGTTTTATTTGTTTAAAAAATGTCATTGGGGTTTGATGGGGATTGCATTAAATCTTTACATTGCTTTGGATGATATGGCCATTTTAAGTATGTTGATTCTTCCAATCTGTGAACACAGAATAGCCTTCCATTTCTTTGTGGTTTTTTTTTAATTTCCTTTAATAAAATCTTGTATTTTATAATGTATAGGTCCTTCACATAATTTGTTATGTTTATTTCAGAGTATTTTATTCTTTTTGTTGCAATTGCAATAGGAATTTGTTTTTCATTTCTTTTTTTGCAATTTCATTGTTAGTATACAGGAATGCAATGGATTTTTGTACACTGATTTTGTATCCTGCAACTTTACTGTATTTGTTTATTGTTTTTAATAGTTTTTTGGTGGCGTCTTTAGGGTTTTCTATATAAAGAATCATGTCATCTGCAAAAAGTGACAATTTGACTTCTTCATTTCCAATTTGGATGCCTTTTATTTTTCTCCATTGCCTGACTGCTCTGACTAGGACTTCTGATACTATCTTGAATAACAGTGGTGAGTGGGAGCATCCCAATCTTGTTCCTGATCGTAGAGGAAAAGCTTTCAGTTTTTCACCATTAAGTATGATATTCACTGAGATTTTGTTATATATGGCCTGTATTATATAAAGGTATTTTCCTTCTATATCCATTTTATTAAGTGTTTTAATCATAAATGGATATTGTATCTTATCAAATGCTTTTTCTGTGTCAATTGATGTGACCATATGATTTTAATCCTTTATTTTGTCTATGTGGTATATCACATTGATCAATTTGAGTATTCTGAATCATCCTTGAGCCCCCAGAGTGACAGATTTTCACACTTTTAGGTTTTCCTGTGGATCTCTATCTACCATTTAGTCATTTTTCTTTTTAAGCTGTTTGTTATATTTTGGTGCTTATGTCCATGTCCATTGTTGCCAAAACTATTTATGTGCTAATGACCCCCGCCCAACAAACTCCATTTAACTTCTACACTGAATTAAGACCCATGCTTTTCTTTAAATGACCCTCAAATTTGACATGTTAAAAACTAAATTCATCTCGCTTCTCTCTCTTCAATGTGTAATCCTTGGCTTCTTTTATCCTCTCTTTTTGTTAATGTTATTTGTCCATTCAGTTTTCAAAGCTTGAAAATAAAGTGTCTTCATTTGCATCCGTATAGTGGATATGGTTCCACTATATCCTGAACATCCCACTGGTTCACATGCCCTACCTATTATATCTTTCAAATGTGTCCCCCATTCCTTTACTTTTTTACTACCTCCCTCTTAGTCAGGGACTCATAAGCATTCATCTAATCTCATGTATGAACTAGTATTAGGTCAAATACTACTGCAAAGTTCCAGGCCTATTCTGGGCTATTTTAGTTAAATTATCCACACACACACACACACACACACACACACACACACACACACACCTAGAAAATGTGTAGAAACCAAGTTTCTCTAGTTCTAAAGCCTGGGCATACAAATAAGGATACTTTTTAGACTTTCAGATTCATGATAGAAGGTACCATATCTATCATTCTTCCGACTGAATCTGTAGTACCTCACATAGCACCTACCACATAAATGGGGCCTTGATAGTCACTTGTATGAATAATTGATTGCTTGAATGAATGAATAAATAAATGAGTAGCAATAACAAACATTATAGTGACATCAATCCTATTTTGCATAACAGAAATCATGCCCCAGGTAAAATCTCCCTTGCTCTAAGTATTTCTGGGAAACCCCCAGATTATTTCTCACATCTTATTAAGAAGAGTCCTCTGAGTTTTTCTGCTCTGCACAGGCCCCCACCCTCCATCACACTTGTTTGCATACCATAGAGAATCTGGGGTCTAAAACTTACCAGTGCTTTTGAGGCAATTAATGTAAATTTGCCAGTATACACAGACACAAAACAAAAATGGCTTTGATTAATCAGAGTTAAGTTATGAATTCTTCAGAAGAGAGAAAATTGTCCTTCTGTACCAAGTATCTCTCTCTACTTCCTGGATACATGAGTAGCATTTATTAGCTTTGTGAAAGAACAATTTTAGCTTCTGAATATATTGCCTTTTCTCCACAGAATAGAGAAATACATTTCCTGGGCTGGGCTGGTATCCAATTCTGAGTCATACATCATGCTGTCCACCACATGACACTCTCATGTTAACCATTTCTCTTATTTAGGTTAAATGCCTTATTCAAATCAACTCATTATATTGATTAACAGTTTGGCCTAATAAGCTTTATTAGCATATCCAGATATTTTGAATCCCACTCAAATCTTCTACATACATCGTATTTAAAAGACAATGTTTTTCTCCTGTCATGCAGTCATTTTTAGATAAAGTTATATAAGAGGTTTAATATAATAACAATAGAATAAAATTACAAGTACATATCAAGAATAAAATTCAGAGGGAAATCTTATAATTTACATCAGGTTTATGAATGTCAGCATAAATTCTTAATGAATGAGGTGAAAGAGAAATGCAGCAGAGGAAGATTCAATAGGGGTCAGCACTCTCCACTTTAACTTCTACTGGTTTATAAACTAACATCATCATTGATACTTTGGCAGTGGACAGATTATTCTCCAAATACTTCACATCCTTAACAGAAACTGCTCTCTATTTGCCTGTCCATCTATTTGTTTTCCTTGTACCACTACTAACTTTTCTTTTGGCCTTTTATCCACTATCATAATTTCTGACCTTTTACTTATTCCAAGCACTGACACCCCTTAAATTAGTCATCTCATTCTTCTCTCTTCAAGGTATGATACATAAAATATTGCCATAACTTCCCTTCCAGGGAACTCCCTGCCAAAATATACACCTATGTACACACACACACACACACACACACACACACACACACACACAGAGTTAATAAGACACATTATTAAATGCCATTGCTTCCCTATGGCATTAAAGATACAGTCAGTCCAAATCTCTCAGCAGGATATCCAAGGAAGTCCTCAATTTTACTCTAATTTATCTTTCCAGTTTTATTGACTCTCTCACTCCTGTGTATAACTTAAACCTAACTCCAACCATTTTGCTTTTTCCTCACTTTAACACAATGAGACACTAACACCTCCAAGAGTTTTAATTACTTCCTTTATTGGAAATTCACTCTCTAACATCTCAAAAGACCATGCATCTTGGAAAATTCTGATTCATCTCTTTCTCATCATAGATATCACCTCCTCAAAATGTTTCTAGATCTATCCATGCAGATTTTAGTTTAGCTTTCTAAAAAGTTACAAATATTAAATTTATGTCACTAGCGTCTGGAAAATGATTCATTTCTCAGATTTTGTTCTTTTTATTCTCAATGGCTAATGAATAATTTGGGTCTTGATAGCTTTGCCCCTTCATTAGAATTTATTTTTAATAAATTATTTCCAAGCAAGGTCTAATCCGTTTTTGTACTTTAAGGCAAACATACTTGAAGTTGTCCATGAATTTATTATTTTTGTTCATAAATATTGTTATTAAAACAACAAAGACATTTTGATTAAAAATAGAAAAAAGAGGTAGGAAGAATAAAAAAGATACTGGGCCCCTAAAACATGCACAATTCAAATATGATTACAAATTGAGCTTAAAATAAGTTTTAAGATTGTTTCTCTCTAAATATTGTTAATATTTAGCCCAAGGGTATTCTTATTGTACTTTGAAAATATAAGGCTTGGAACAAACAAACAATTTCTTCTATTTTTGTTAATTATAAATTATTGTTTTTTATTTTATGATTAATTTTTAAAAATCATTAATAGACCCAACCAAATATGAATTCAATATTCAGAATCAACATTTAAGAAAAAAGATTATAAAAATTATAGTTTTTTACATTGTTAATGATTTGTTTACCATTTTCTTGGATATGTTTCTTTACCCACTAATAGAATCCAAAGCAGGAAATCAAGAAGATTAGTAGATTTCTAGAGAAGAACCTGAATGATGAGATCTTGGATAAGATCATCCATCACACCTCATTTGGAATGATGAAGGACAACCCTCTAGTGAATTACACACATCTACCAAAGACAGTGATGGATCACAGCAAATCCTCTTTTATGCGCAAAGGTGAGTTTAATTTCCCTCCTTTCGGTTTAATTTCCCTTTTCACTTTCTTATGAATTATTATAAAATGAGGATTAACATTGTGGTTGCTACCAAATTACTTAGATTTGAGTATTTGATACATATTTCTCCTCCTATTTAATAATCTGCTAAATGAGAGTGGTCTTGACAAATCTGATGTGAGTCATTCCAAATTTATTTCTAAATCTTCAATCTTTGTCTAAATTGGCATAGGCCTCTTTCTCTTCATTGATAAACTGAATATAGTACCATTTTCTTTAAAGACCCCATATCATTTAGAAAACAGTGGTCACATTGTTTTTTTGTTTTGTTTTACTTTGTTTTTGTTTTTTTAATTAAAGTTTACTGGGGTAACAATTGTTAGTAAAGTTACATAGGTTTCAGGTGAGCTATTCTGTGATACATCATCTATATATCACATTGTGTGTTCACCACCTAGAGTCAGTTCTCCTTCCATCACCATATATTTGATCCCGCTTACCCTCATCTATATATGCTAATTAAAAAAGAAGACACACACACACACACACACACACACACACATACACACACACACACACTTTCCTGGTGGAATACTAAGAAAAAAATATCTTTCTTAAACATGGCAAATTTTTATTATGCCAGATTATTGAATGTAACTTCCAGGAGAATTTTATCCCTACTCATATGAAAATTGATACCACCCCCATGATATCTCATTAGGGTATAGAGGTAGAGAAGATAAGTTCAGTATGTGGATTCTATGGTTTCTCCAACTTCACCCTAAAAGAGTGCATACTAGTCTAATAAGAGAGACATCTTTACATGCCTTCCCGAAGTGGTAAATAATATGTCCTTTGTGATCAGATTGATCTGGGAACTGCCACTCCCTGAGTCTATGACTTTGAATACATTAATCAATCTGCCAAAACAATGTTTACATCACTAACAATATGGAGAAAGTACTAACATCTATGGCACAAGTTTTTCAAAAGGATAATAGTAAATAATATGTAAGCGTTTAGAATATTTTTCTGATCATAAATAATACATACAAAAATCGCAAGTCTTCCCAGTTTGAATAGTTCAAGATTCATCTCTCCTTTACTCATGCATTCTATAATTCATTCATTAATTTACAGATAGCAAAGCTCTTCATGAACACCTATTTGCAGCACATACTATCTAGGACATGCATCATTGAATGACACATGCATCTGCCTCTTGAGGACATACATTACAATCCTAATGTAATGCAACAGCCATACATGTAAATAGAAGGTGAAAAGGGTTCAATATGACCGAAAGCCCAGGCACACACAGTCTTGAAGGATGCCATGCTGGATAAATCAATATCATAATTTAGTCACACAATAGTAAAGGTAGTAGGAAGAGGACAGGTGATATCCAGTGTTTATACCTATGTCCCAAATTGCAATGAAACAGAAAAATCTGGGCTTTGATTAGACTTTATTTTAACAAAATAAAATTTTTTATACATTCCTTACTCTTGTGAAGCAAATGTGCTTGTGTGTTATAAAATTTATACTCAGATATTTGGAATATTTTATATATGACTCTTTATTGTTTAAATCTATGCTCTCTGTTTTTAATGCCATCTTTACAGATGAACTATCTTGAAAATACATTTCCTTCACATATGTCCCAGAGCTCTTTCCATCTGGTAAACATAGAACAAAGTATAACAACCAGGGAAACAACCTTGTCTAAGGGGATGTTTTTCATCAAAAGGATTTGGAATCTTCATCAAACCATCAGGGTTAATATAGCTTGCAATTCAATAGAATATATTAATTATATTAAATATACCTATTTAATTAATATTAAATATACCTATTCTTAAATAGGTATTAAATAAATGTTTTATTTATAGCAAAAGTAAATGTTTTTCTCCAAGCACATTGGCAGTACCTTAAAAATTTATTTATTTTTATATAAATATTTATAAGCATCGAAGTATAACAAGTTAAATAAATTTACATCACATAAGTTTTACATTTGAAAAAAGGGTTCAGGGATATTATATAGTTAATGCTATTCTTCTCATCTAAAATGCAAATACAGTATAAGTCTAGTGAACTCAGAAATAACAAATATTCTACAAGAATTATGCCACTCTTATTTACACATTCTGGGAAGTGATACTTACCAGCTTTTTATTCCATGGTTTGGTTGTGCTGATAACCAGTCCTTTGTAGAGTTTCCAAGAGTAACTCATGGAATAAAATATGCCCTGACCGTATCCAATGTTTAACCGTAACCCCGTGACCTAGGATAATTAGAAATTTTAAAAGAATCTCTTTCAGGAAACTATTCTATAGCCCATAAATTCAGGCAAGAAAATTAACCCTTCTCAGAATGTGTCTTTAAATATCAGACTCTGTTTAGCCATAAGCCACCTTTCTACATGGGATTACCAGCAAAAGAGGAATAACATTTTAAAGTATTCAAATACAAGGAAAGCCTTTTTTAACTTTTCTAAGCTTTTCTTTTGTTATGTATTAGATTTTTCTTCATAATGGAAATATTTTATTCCTTCATATGTTTTCATATTTGTTATTTTTAGGGATTACAGGTGACTGGAAGAATTACTTCACAGTGGCCCAAAATGAGAAATTTGATGCTATTTATAACAAGGAAATGTCTGGAAGTGAACTTCAGTTCCGCACAGAGATTTAAAGAGCCTACACAGCAAATCTGAAAGAAGTGACGTGTAATTTGTTGAAAGGGGCAGTTATGACTTTACTTGGATTTACAAAGGAGAAAAATGTGCTTTTAAACCTTTGATTTTTCAGTGCCATTAATCAGTTTCCAGTTTTGCCCTGACTCTAACCTTCCAAATTTCCTTAAGTTAAGGCCAATTGTTATCTTTTCATAGGCTGTTCCTGCCTTTTCCTATCCTAATACTGACAAGAAAGTATTTATCTGACCCAATCTCCATATATGTTGGCTTAGAATTAGGTTCCCCTACTCACATGGCCCAAGAAATGCTGTTTGCAAACTAACACCATATTTCCTAGCTCTGTTCCAATTTCCCTTTGCTGAAAACTTGACCCAGGACATTCTGTTTTACTACTGCTTTTTGGGTGTCAAGTGTTCCCTGAGTCATAGCTCATCTGCTTGCAGTGTCTCTATTTTGATAACACAGTTCATGTCCCATATCATGTGGTTCAGATTTTGGAAGTGTTTCTATTCCTAGTCTGAGTTTCCAAATTTCTGATTGCTGAGTATCTACTTTCTGAATTTTCAGAGGTGAAAGATCTACATTAGTCTCCCTTGAGCTCTTCTTTGGGAACTGAAGCCCCACTCTGGGAGCCTGGAAGGAGGGCTGGAATCTGTTTCCTGTGGAGAGTCCTTTCCAGACCTTAATGGCCTCTTCTGAACTTCTAAAAATCACCTATTGCTATGCTCAGTCCCCATTTGGGAATTTCATTTATTTCATCTTGTGTCTTAATAGGTTTGGATACTTTAATAGCACCTTCAGCACCCCCAGATAAGATCATAGCTGCTGCTAAAATTTCCCAATCCAGTGCTTAATGGAGACTCTCCAGGCTAAATTTCCACGATGCCTCCAGACCCACATCCTCTCTACCTACTATCTTACACTGTGCCTCTCAACATGGGTTCTTGGATACATGTCTCCTTACAACATTTGTTTATCAATTCCAGCTTTGTCTTACAAGTAGTTATTTCTGTCTCCTGTACAGCAAGATCTTTTGCCAGCAAGTCATAGCTGCATGTGCCAAATTCAATGCCAAGCCCAGGTTCCCAAACTCAAGCTTGGTTTGAATGTGCTGGGTCCTGATTCATTCTGGAGAGGAGTTCTGACCCATTACAGGCCTCCTGAGCCATAACTGAGTTAGCTACGACAACTTGGGCTGCAATAGTTTGCCTTCACAGGTGCATCTCTGCTGTCAGCCTTTGCCGCTGGAATAGCTCCTCAGGTTTGTAACTTCTTTCTTTCCCAACCCTAGGGGATTGATCTAATGCCAACTGGAAACTCCCTAAGAGTTTAATATTTATGATTCTGGAGATAGTTGTTCTGATACATTTATTATCACGTGTTATAAATTATTTCAGGAAATGAAACTTATGTGTACATTCCTCAGAAACATGTTTAGTAGTAGTTAACCTTGAATGCTTAGGGGTAGTGTGAACTAGCTCCAGCTTTCTAGAATACTCTTGCCAACAAGGAAGTAAAGTCAATCATGTATGCATTTGTTTTATTATCTCTATTAATAAGTTAATGTGGTATGACTTCTGATAGTATATCTATTTTTGAAAACAATTAAATATCTCTGAACTAGCTAGCTTTTAATCTGTGTAATAAATTGGCTGTACTAACTGCCTTCACTAGCAGGATAAAATAATTTCCACTTTTCCCTAGTTTTCCCATGTGGAAATAATTCTCTGTAACTGGACTTTATTCAAAAAATTTGAGTGAGCTTTAATTATGCCCTAGGCAGTTTTGGGGCACTGATGATAGAGTGGAGAAAAAATAAAAATTAAATTTTCCTTTACCTTTCTTACAGGTTGTTGCCTCTTATCCATTTTTTAAAAAAATTAGTTTCAGGTGTACAAAGCAACATGATAGACATTTATACCCCTCACAAAGTTATAACCCACCAATCTACCACCCCTCTGACATCATATATAGCTGTTACAATACCATTGACTATATTTCCTATGCTGTACTTTATATCCCGTGACTATACATACACACACACACACATACACACACACACACACACATAATATATATATATATACACACACACATATATATATATAGTGCATATATGTGTATGTGTGTGTGTGTGTGTATTTAATTATAGTTGACATTCAATATTATTCTCTGATTCAAACGCCAGCACCCTGGTTCACTGTCTCATCATCTTGTGTTCACGTCACACCATACAGTGGCACTCCTGCTAGAATTCCAGCTTCGAAAGTTCTTGATACCCAGTGAAATCATTCAGAAAACTGCCACTAAATTAATTTTCCTAAAACAATGAATTTATCATTATTTCTCCTTTTCAACAATCATTAGTATAATTGTCAAACACAGCCACTTAGAATAATCTCATTCTATTTTTCTCTAACCAAAGCATGGGATGTAAGGACAGCAATACCAAATATGTGGCAATGACGTGATTACTCCCTCAGCCATGTCACCTCACTAATCAATCAATGACTGTTTTCCAAGTAGCCAAAGTATGGCCTAAAAATATTTCCATCATATCATTCAAAGCAAGTACTAGCACTTGTTTAGAGTAGGTACCTACTGTGAAACTCTGCTATTATTGATCAAAGGGAAAGAGCCAAAAAGACTCCCAAGAGAACAGTATCTTGGATTGTCCTTTAGTGAGATGCTTAAACTTTAGAAAACCTGAGTAAATAAGATTTTAGTTTCTCACCTGTAAAATTAGGTAATTGGTTTGTGTTTCTTTCACATTCTAAAATTCTATGGCTTTATTTGCTCCCTCTTTCCTAAAAGTGATATTTAAACTGTTTTGACATGTGTAAGCATATACACAGTTATGATATGCAAATACATATATACATGTACATATGTATGCATATCCCATTGGTTGTTTCTCTGATGAATACAGTACATATGCTGCATTTTATTGCTATTCTATGCTTTCATGAAAGCTTTGGACCAAGTCTTTTGATTATTCAGTTATTCAATTATTATTCAGTTTTTCAGTTATGTGTTTTGAGCTTCCAATAGATTAGAAGTATTTAAGGCTTTATGATTCTTCCCTCATAACTCTTCCAACAGGTAGTGTGAAACAGTATCACAAAGCATTCTACCTTATATGCCAACAGCTATTAGCAAGGAGGCAAAAATATAGCCATATATCCTTGTTCTCTATCCTATCAAGCACTCCAAAATACCTTTCATGAAAGATGTTCTTGAGTGAGATGGAAAACTGTACTTAGTAGTGGTAATTAGGTGACCAGTTCAGAATCATAATCCTAGGGCATTTATTCTAATTGTCTAGTAATCTTAAAAGTGTAGTTTTTAGCATCTCCAAAATAATGTTGAAAAAAATTTTGTACCATCTCACACATTTTAAATTCATGTTTGATTGAGTAGCTGGGTAACATAGACTAGCCAAGTTGACACCTAACTTTTTTCCAATAATAAGCTTAAATAATAAAGATATAATTTGCAGTGTCCAGAAAATGTTGACACTTTAAAATGAAACTTTTGTAACACTTTCAAAAATGTTTCCAATGGAATTCAAATACTTTAGTGATTAGATATTCATCATTATTCATATAAAATGCATGAAAATGTCATTTCACAGTTGGAAAATCATGATTGTTTTTCTATTTTAAATAACATTTCAATATCATTTTTCTACAGAATTTTATCACAAAATTATATTCATATTTCATACTAAAGCTCTTTTATTTATCACGCTATTATATTTCTCTGCAATAAAATACATATTTAAATTTTAATTCTAGAATGTCTTGTGATCATAAGTCTTTAAGTAAATGATAAGCCTTTAAGGTAAGCTTTTATAGGAAATGTCTCATTTAATAAAATAGATGAATATTCTTTTTCAATTAATTCTTGAGTCCAGATAATGATTACATGTTGATAAAATAATATAGAATTCAGCATCAATTCTACCCGTTTAATTTGTTATTGCAATGTGTCAAAAATGTATTCCTATAAATAAGATAGGAATTTTGTTTTACAATGTCACTCAATTATTTGAATACTTCTGACAAAAAAAATCACATATCAAAAGTCATCAGAATCAACAAAAATTATTATGATGTACTGGATGACAACTCTATTAGTTGTCCTTTCTTGTTATTTGTTGAGTGTGAAGAATTGAAAGCCACTTGATATTCAAAAGGATTTTCTACCCAGTAATTAGAATCATGCTTTGTCTGTTTTGAGGAAGAATGACAAAATGACTTTACTAAGACTTATCATATAATTTTTAATTACTGATGCTACATTTTCACTTAAAGGCAAATTATCTAACCTGAAAAATATTTCAAAAGTTGGGAAAATTAAAGTACTATTCATTAATATATGCCATTTCCAATTCAATATTTCTGATAAAACGTTTTTTATCGTGTGCTTTAAATAATTTTTCCTTACAATTTTAGGATTTAGAATAGGATATTCAATCTGCCATTTACACTTATTGGTAATGTCAGTCCATATTATCACGTGAGTTAGATCAGATTTATTTTTATTAGCATTTTATTATTTCAAGGACAATAAAGAACATTCTAGTAAGTTTAGATAAGAGGTAGGATTCTACAATATTCACAATCCATCCTCAAAAGCATAGCTTCTACATTCTAGAACTTTCATAATTATAAACCAATCACCTTACTGTAACACTTTTAAGATACATTGAAGAAAGTATCAAATGCTTTGCAGTTCTAAGGACAGTGTATCGGTCAGCACTAAATTTGACCCAATAAAGAAAAAAGATTATACCAAATTAGTTTTATATGCTGCATAATAGAGGGACAGTTATTGAAGCAAAAGAGAAATGGACTTTTCATTTACTAAGCCTCAGTTATACTTCTATTTTCATCTTCTAGTCATATTGACAGCTAAGTCCAGAGGTTTATAGATCATACTGAAAGAAATTCCTGGGGTCTGTAAAAGTTTCTCCAAAGTCTGCCAAGGGACTGGGGACATGGCAATAGAGGGATGGGCATTTGACCTCCCCTCTCTGGTTTCAAGTACAGCAGTTGCGTATTTTTGCTTTTTAAAAAAATTAAATGTATTGGGGTGACAGTGGTTATTAAAATCATATAGGTTTCAAGTGTACAATTCTATAGTACATCATCTATGTATCACATCGTGTGTTCAGCATCCAGAATCAGTTCTCCTTCCATCACCATATATTTGACCCCCTTTACCCTCTTCTACTACCCCTCCTCCCCCCTTACCCTCTGGTAACCACTAAACTGTTATCTGTGTCTATGAGTTTTTCTTTCTATTTTTTGTCTTGTTCATGTGTTGCTTTCAGTTTTATATCCCACATATGAGTGAAATCATATGGTTTTTTTACTTTTTCTGTCAGACTTATTTCAGTTAGCATGATAATTTCAAGATTCACTCATGTTGTTGCAAATGGAAACATTTTTTCTTAAGGCTGAGTAATATTCCATTGTGTATATGTACTACATCTTCTTTATCCAATCATCTGTTGAAGGACACTTAGGGTTGTTTCCATGTCTTGGCAACCATGAATAATGCTGCAATGAACACAAGGGTACATATATCTTTACAGATAAATGTTTTCAGACTTCTGGGGTAGATCCCAGAAGAGAGATTGCTGGGTCATTTGGTTGCTTTAATCTTAATTTTTTGAGGAACCTCCATTCTGTTTTCCATAGTAGCTGTACCAATTTACATTCCCACCAACAATATATGATGGTTCCTTTTTCTCCACAACCTCCCCAACACTTGTTATTACTTGTCTTATTGATAGTAGCCATTCTAACAGGTGTGAGGTGGTATCTCATTGTGGTTTTGATTTGCATTTCCCTAATAGCTAGTGAAGTTGAGCATCTTTCCATATATCTGTTGGCCATTTGTATGTCTTCTAGGGAGAAGTGTCTATTCATGTCCTCTGCCCATTTTTTAATTGGATTGTAAACTTTTTCATTTAGAATAGTTTTAGATATATAGAATTATTTCAAAGACAGTACAGAGGGTTTCGGGGTACCACACACCCAGTCTCCCTTATTATCAATAGCTTACATTAATATGGTATATTTGTCACAATTAATGAACAAATATTGATACACTACTACTAACTAAAGTCCAGACATTAGATTTTTTCCACTATTCTATACTGACATTTTCTGTTCCAGGATCCTATTCAGAGTGCCACAATGTATTTAATCATCATATCTCCTTAGGTTCCTCTTAGATGTGAAAGTTTTTCAGACTTTCCTTGTCCTTGATATTTTTGAGGAGTATTGGTTAGCTATTTTGAAGAATGTTCCTCAGATGGCATATATGTAATATTTTTCTCATGATTATACTGAGGTAACATGTTTTAGGGAAAAATGGGATAAAGTACCTACCATTATTATCACATCACATCAAGGGTATATATAAACATATGACTTATCATCGTTGATGTTGACCTTGATTACCTGGTTGACGTAGTGTTTACCAACTTTCTCCACTACAAACTTACTCTTTGCTTTTTTGCTTCCTTTCCATAGAAGAAAAATAATCTACAGCTTACACTTAAGAAGTGGGGTATAATAGTTCACCTCCTGAAAGGTGGAGTATCTACAAAAAATATTTAGAACAATTCTGTTTGGGAGATATTTTAAATTCTCTACTATTTATTTATTCATTTATTCATTCATTCATTCATTCACTTACATCAGTAAGGACTTATGGATATTTATTTAATACTTTTGGTTATATGTTAGTAATACTTTATTTTCTTGCTCAAATTTTTCTAGTTTTGTCCATTGGAAGCTCTTTA